TAATCGGGTAACATAGATAACTTCTTTCAACCAGGGCTCTTTGCTTCAGAGTTTGGAAGACTCTTAGGTCAGCCTTTCTTCCTCAAAGAGCAGAAACAACAGTTTCTCCTAAAGGAGTGGAAAGATGTGGATCTAGGTACAGAATGCCTTTAGAAGAAAGATAGGCAGTCCTGGGAATAAAGAAACAGACCTTTCTAAGACACTGGATTTGTTACTAGGCAACAAATAAAATATGATTAGAATACCCCAAATACAGCATATGGCAAAAGAAATGCCTGCTTAAAACGCCTTTCACAAACCTAACCTCCAGACAATTTTGGTGCTTGATTTTTCCTATAATGTTCACCTTTAAGGTATACACACATGCATGTGTGTGCTTCACATTATTCCTCGGCCTTCCAAAGCAAGTATAATTTGGCAATTCTATGTACTACCCAATAGTAATTGTTATTTTATAAAATAGCATTAACATTGCAAGTTCATACTCTTTTCATTATGATAAAAAGCACAGATGACGGCTAAAATCCCAGGCACTGACAGCACAGGCTGAGGAGAATGTGGGACGACAGGAACTCGCTCCTAGCTGGTGAGGATGCAGATGGCAGAGCGATCCCAGCAGGCAGTTTGAAAGGATTTTAACCACACAACCCAGCAACTGCATTCCTAGTCATTTACTCAAATGAAGGCAAAGCTTCTGGCCACATAGAACCTTGCACACAAGCTTTCCAGCAGTAGTGTTAAATGCCAAAAGCGAGGAGTAACCAAGGTTTCCACTGGTAGGTGAATAAATACGTGGACTGTGGTATACAACAGAATGTTACTAAGGAGTGAAACTAAATAAAGTATCAAGATCTCAAAAGGCACAGAGCAACCTCAGATGCACATTGCTATGTGCAAATACTTATTCTGAAAGGTTACATACTGCACAGTTCTGTTTATAGGACATCCTGGAACAGGCAAAGTTAGAGAGACAGGAAGAAGATCTGTGGCTGTCAGGCAAGCCCAGGGGCAGAGGGAAAGAATGAATGACTACGTACAGGGCATTTCTAAGCCAATGAAACCATTCTGGGTGATGCTGTAATGGTGGATACAGGAAGTTATATGTTTTTCAAATTCCCCGTGGCTACTAAATAAAAAAAGTGAACCTAATATACAATTACTGACAGTTTAACTAGTAAAACTGCATCCCTGTTCAGGGTGGTAATGAGTGACCGCTCTGGTGCAGGACTTCCTACAGAGGAAAGTAAACTATGTAAGGCAGCAGAAGGTGGGACGACTCTTAGATCTCTATTCAATGTAAATCTAAAGCTCTGTCTCTGTAAATCTAAAGCTCCTCTACAAAGAAAGTTTGTGCACTTCTGAAAAATCCAAAAGCATGCATATGTAATATTAATGCTGGCCCTGGAAACAAGTTTTCCAGTGTGCATCATATTCATGAAGTCATTGTCAGACTGAACCTTGTATCTATGCACCTGTCACTCCTGTACCATGAAATGTAAAACTCTTTAGATGTTCAGCTATGCATCAAAACATACTCGGCATTCTGTCCTGTAGAACATAATCAAGCTGCTGCCTGCAGGACTTTTTCTATTCTTTTTTCCAAATGAAACATCCTGCTGTATTAGTACATTTCTCATTTTTCTGATCTTTCAATATCATTTTAATTTAAAAAAACTTTCCTCAATATTTTGCCTGGCATTTGTTGGTAGGTAACCAAATACAGAATTTGTCATCTTCATTTCTGAAATCATCACATTTATTCTTCAGCCTTTTGCAAACTTCAGTGCACGTAGGAGTCAACTGGGATCATTTTGAAACACAGTGTCTGACTGTCTTGATTTGAGGCGGCGCTTCACAATGTGATTCCTAAAAAGCTTTGAGGCAATGCTGGTGCATGACTACACCCTGAGCAGCAAAGTTCCTGAGAATTTGGGACACAAAACCATCACCTGCACGAAAAACAAACCTAACTATTTAGCAACCCTTCTGAAGTTAACAGAGCTGTTTTCTTGCATCTCTTACCTGAAGAAGCTTCTGGGGTAACAGCACTTTGAAATCTGATTTCCCAAAATATAACCCTTTTCCATTTCATCTGTAAAGAGGAAGGCTGGATAACCTTTGTACAGTGAGCAAGCTACCTGTTTAGTTATAATACTCTCCTAATTCATTTGTACCAAAGACACGGCTCATTTCTAGCTCATTCCTCAATTTATAAGTCTTCAACTGCAGTGAGGTCAAGGGACTGACTCAAGGTCATCTACCCCAAAACTGTAAAGGTCAGGTCTCAAGTCCAGATTCTGATTCCAAATACAGTTCTTTGTTTTCAGTTCTCTCTTGCCACTAACAATGCTGTACTCCAGAGAATAGGGCTCAGGTAGCTCAGCCCACAGACTCTGAGCTCTGAATTGAATCTCAGCCTCCAGCTCACGATTGTAATTCAGAAGGCTTAAGGTTTTGAGGTTGGACAGGTAAACTGAGAGGAACGAGATTCTGTGGATCAAAACAAGCCGTAAAACTTAGCAAAGCCGTGTGAATTTATGAGCTTACCTTGCTATGAAGTAAAAGCATGAGCAGAAACACTTGGACATTCCACCACAGAAAATGGAGAAAGAATGATCTGTTCTTTATCACCAAACCTAAAGATCCTCTTGAAAGAATTCATGGACAACCATGAGTGGGAATCAGAAGCAGGTGGACAGCCCTGTGACACCTTCCCAGGGAAGCCTCACAGACACTGGAGCGAATGAAAACTGGACATTTTCAGTGGGACTTCTAGGCGTCAAAGATAATAGAAACTAAACTGCCTATCTTCACATGAGAAAAAGGCCTACAAATAGACTCTGTGCCACTGGACAGCTGTTATTCTCTGGAACTAAATTTTGGAGTTTCCAATGTCTAGCTTAAGGCCAGGCTCGAACTTGACACTGACTTCAAGAGCTGGTCAGGGGGCAGGGCTAATTTATGCACAGTATTTACCATTCAGGGGTCTGTGCCTCCTTTTCATGTGTTGTCCTTCTATACCTGCTAAGGATGTCTTCTAACAGTGTGAATCCCTTGTACACATGCTCAGGCTCTCCCACCTGGAGCCCTGCACTATGGGAAAGAGGAAGTTAAGATAAACTTAGTTTGGGCACTACACCTGTCTCTGAATACTGAACAGCAGCCCACCATGGAACTCTGCTTCTTCTTTCAGAGGCATCGTGTATGTGTGTGTGTGTGTGTGTGTGTGTGTGTGTGCGTGTGTCCTGTATACAAGCAGCTCAGAACTGATTTGTGCAAGTTGTCTGGGCTTCCTCCTCTTCTTCCACCCTTGTCCCACGCCTCCACATGGAAGTAGGGCTGGAGATCTTCTCTTCAAAGGACTTTGTCACTGGCTCAGTATCTGGGGCTTTGGTCTCCACCTCTGTCTTCCCAGGATGTTCTGAGATGCTCTCGAGTGAAGGCCGAGCAGTGGTAGAAGAATCTGCCCTCGTACCACTGGCCCAGCCTGGCAAAAACCAGTCACTTCTCATTTGTTTGAGGATCTGACCCTCCCAAGACAATCCCACACAGTTCAGGAGTGGACTGCAGGGAGCACTAGTGCTCATGGCCTCTCCAGGAACTCCCCACACTCCAGCCGTGGAAAGTCTCCATGAACACACGGGATGACCCCAAAGCCTTAGCATCCTGGAAACCAATGCTGCCTCCAGCTGACAAATCCAGCTTTGCTTGATTCATTCCCAACACCGTTGTCAGAAGTATCACTGCAGTGTTTCTGTCTCACGGGTTTTCTTCCCCACCTTCTGCCCTCTGGTTAACTTCCTATCCTTCCTTTGGCACCCAGCACCCCTGCAAGGACCTTCCTGAGACCTCAGCCTTCACAGTGACCTCCTGGCCCGCTGGAGCCCACACCACCTGTTATGGTTAGGTCCTGGAGTGTACCCCCTGAAGCGCCTAGGCTACAGGCTGATCCCCAGTGCCTCTGTGTTCAGAGACAAGGCTTTGGGGAGGTGACTGGACCCTGAAGGCTCTACCTCCTTAGTGGCTCAGCCCATGGGTGATGCACAGCTAAATGGCTTCTTGGGATGGGAGCTAGTTGGAGGGCGTAAATCCTTGGATATGCCTTGGAAGAGCATATTTTGTCCCCTGCCAGTTCCTCTCTCCCTCTGCCTTGTCCTCCCTGCTCCCTCCTCCTTCTCCTTCTCTACCCCTCAACTTCCTCTGCCCTCCCCTCCTCCCTGGCTTCCTCTGTCCTGTCCTTCCATCACAATATGTTCTGCTTCACCACAGGCCTAGAGCAATGAGGCTAAGTCCCCATGAACTGATGAGCTCAGCCCAAATGAATCACTCCTACTCTAAGCTGTTTATCTTAAGGGTTTTTTCACAATACAGGAAAGCTTACTAATGCACCATGTATTTGATCTTTATGCTCAGCCTGGCTTCTGTGAAAAACCTACCACAACTGGACCTATTTGTTGAGTTTTTAAGGCTAAATAGGAACAGGGGCATAGAAGAGAAGTACAGATGACTGTCTTGCTGGATTTTTCAGATATTCATACTTAAATGCCAACAAGTAATGGGGAGGAAAGTGGCTTCCAGAGGAGGAAGCATGGGCAGTATTCTCTTTTGGGGGATCATCTCTGAAACGAATCACAAGGATACTTCCTGGGGAGATTGGAGAATGTAGTTTTAGAAGGAGTGTAAAAGAGAGAGAGAAATCCAATTGAACAGAAAGAGCAATATTTCACAAATACAGCTAAATATTACAGAAAGGAGCCAGGTGGAAGGTTACCAGCCCTGCACACCACTGGGAGTACTGCACACCACTGGGAGGACTGAAACGTGGTCTAAAATTCCTCAGTTCACGACACAGAGCATTCAGTGGGAGAGAGGCAGCATTAGTCAAACACCAGGGATCCTTGCTGCTGAAAGATTCTACAATTCTACAACACACAGGAATCAGAATGCCACATACACTCCAGACCCACAACCATAAAAGCACAATGGGAGAAACAACTTACTGTGCTGACAGTGGATCCCATTAAATCCACGGGGACATTTACAGACATAGCCTATGAAGGTGTCCCCGCGGTAAGCTTCGCTGATCTCACAGGTTCCACCATTATGGCAGGGATTAGGGATGCAGGGACCTGAAAGACAGAGAGAAAGTTTTGCTGCGTGACACAAATGCTTAAAGAAGATAGGAGGTCCACATTTTGTAGCTAACAAATACACAGAAAGCTTTCTGGGTGTTAATGGGAAGAGGAATGTGCAGGTTGGATAAACTCTGAAAACCAAGGCCTAGGCTTTGAACCTTTTTTTTCATACTTTTTTAGCCATAATGTCATGGGTACTTAATTTTTTTTTGAATTTTATTTATTTATTTATTTATTTATTTATTTATTTATTTATTTATTTATTTATTTAAATGCAGGACCTTGCTCTTGCCAGGCAGGTGCTTGTGCCACTGAACTGTATCCCCAGCCCTTCTTCATAAATTTGTTAATTTACTTTACCCATCTGTTTAAGAATGTGAGCCAAGGGACCACAATATTAATTAAAAAAATATATATATATTCACAAAACTGGACAGAAGCACTAAAAACTTAATACTAAGTTAACTGCTGTTATCAAGGGTTTTGAATCATTCAGTGTCTTCTGCAACTTTAAAAATTAATACAGAGTGAAAAATTTCTCAGCTAGTGAACACTGAAATGCTGTTTTTCCTCCCAGTACAAGATGCGTAGGACAGTGATACTGGAGTCAAAATGAAACGGAGAGATGGTTGCGGTCATTTTACAGGTTCTTTACAATTCTTTTCCTGTGAAGAAGCACAATATTTTGCCAACCTAAAGGGAACAGAAGCTGCATATTTGGAGAAGGGCTGAGAGCCACCTCTCAGCTTTGAGAAAGTAAATGCAGCGCGGTGACTAGTACTTGTGCCACCTGCAAAGCCCTGTGTGTGCAGATCTCTCTGCCAGGGTGCAGCTGGCTGACAGCATCCAGTGAGAAAGATCCATGAAGAAGTTAAAACGCACATCATGAGACAAGAGGAATAAAATTAATAAAACTAAGTGTCTTGCTGTCTTTGATGAGTGAATTTCAGAGTTCAGGAAGAAGATTAGCTAAGAAGAGTGAAAGATTCCAGCTGCACCCAGGAGGAAGGAAATTTAAAATTAGAAAAAATCAATGGCTGTAGAGTCTAATAAGCAAGGACTTACATGGCAACTGGACAGAGCCCAGGCCTTCACTTCCTGATAGGGCTGACTCTGAAGAGAAGAAAATTCAGGAAGTTGTGATCCCCACACCCAGGTATATCAACACTGATTGCAAGGATGAAAAAGTCTAAGGAGCTCATGGCCTTGACAAGAATTAAAAGTATAAAATTGCATTACATTAGAAATTTAAAAGAAATAAACACACATTAGCTGCTCTTGCTGCAAGAAAAGCAACTATGTGAAATAACAGATAATTTGTCTTGTTATGATAATCCCTTCAAATCAGTACAACACACCACTTAACATCATGTGGAAAACCTCAAAACACACAATAATATTTACATTTAAAAAATCAGTGTGGGGGCTGGGGATTTAGCTCAGTGGCACAGCACCTGCCTGGCAAGCGCAAGGTCGTGAGTTAGATTCCTGGTACCGGAAAACCAAAACAAACAAACAAAAAAAAAAACAAATAAAAAATCAGTGTGTTTGGATAAGTATGTACCTTTGTGTCATTAGTTCATATCAGTTAAGTTATCTAAGAGCTACACTTGAGGTGATCCATTACCCATATTGAGAAAGGAGAGAAAGTTCAAGATGAATGACCCAGTTCAGGAACCATTTGAATCCTTTTCACCCATCACTGAAAGATGAGAATCATACTACAGAACCCAGACATCTTTATCTTTTTTCTTGATTTCTACTTCCTTTCTCCTAATAATATTTGGTGGTGTCTTAGAATCTACAAAGTGATTTTACAAAGATAATGCCAGTTATTCCCCAAAGCAACTCTGTGAGGTTGTCATTATTTAATTCTCTTGTACAGGTTTAAAAATATTACAATAAACTTTAAATAATAGTTTTCAAATCAACATTTCCCAGTGATACATTCAGACCTCCAAGTAAGGAATCAGTGGTTCTAGAAGAGAAAACGAAATTAAGTTGATGTTAGGTTGTAACTCATCAGATCATTTGAAAATAAGAAAGGGTAATTTAGATATTTTATGAACTGATAAGTTTTAGTCATACATATGTGTTAAAGACAAAAATTAATATAAATTGATTTAAAGAATTATATACTTTTGAACAACTAAAGAGCTCTGAAAATCAGCCAATCCAATCTTCTGCTTTTGGAAATGAGAAAGAAAAACCTATTAAGAATTCAGTGATATTTCTAAAAATATCTGATATTAAGAAAAAGCATGTCTATGGAATTGTATCTAGGAAAAAATAGTTATAAAAACCAAGAGTGATGAAGCTACCCCTTCCCCCTCAGGGTATTGATAATTTAAATTGGAAAGCCAGTAAATCTTTCACACAGCGCTTTACTCTGAGGTAGCTCTGTGAAGTAGATGGAAAGATAGAACCAGTGAGACCTCTGCCAGTCCTCAGGAGGTATCTCCATTACTGTTCTCTCATTGCTGAGACAAAGTATCTGATGCCCAAAATTACAGAGGGAAAGGTTTATTTAGTTAGCAGTTTGTGGAAGTTTCAGTCCATACTCAGCTGGCTCCAAGGCAGGGTGGCCTGGCACAAGGACAACAGTTCAAGGTGGCAGAAGACAGCAAAAGCAACAAGAACAAAGGTGGGGAGCAAGACTCTTTTTTTCCCTTATATTGTATGCAGGCTACCTGTCCTAGGGAAGGTGTAGCATTCACACCCCCAATCTCAGCATTACACAGTGAACAAGTCACACACTCTAGATTCAGCCACCTCTACAAAGCCCTGTTTCCCATGACTCTGTGAGGCTCTGGGGAGACTTCCAGACATAAACCATAATGCGAGGTACTGAAGCAGAAATTACCAGGTTGGGGTTCAATGGAAGTCACCCTGAAGACTAGGGGTAGATACCAGTCCAGCCAAGGTGGCTGCAGTCACTCCTGCCTACCTGGAAAATCTGCAGAAAAATAGACTGAGCCACCAGGAGAGCATCAGAGAAGTTACATGGATCTGTGTACCAAATTGGGAGGGGAAGGGATGGGGAAATCAAGGGGATGAGATCTCGGAAGAAAAATGGGAAGTAAAATCTTCAAGGACCAGGCTCAGTAAAACAACATACTGAGATGGTATAATGTGTGGTTAGCAGCCAGGATGAGATGGTGATGACCAAGATTCAAGTTTACGCTGTGTGCCTAGACATATGTGCATTATCTTTTCAGGAGCAACTAGCTCTACACTCGACTCTACCACACAAGCCTATGAGTTGTGCTTGGGGAAATGAGAAAGGGCCAAACTAGCCATCTGGCTCATCCTGGCAGGAGGGGAGGCCTGTGCATGCGGGAACCTGAAGACGGCACTGGGGTCTTTTCAGTGACACATTCCGGACGTTTCCTGAGGGCCAGGGGGAGCCTGTCCAGCAGTCTTGCTGCAGTCTCTGGGACTCCAGAAAGGTGAGTCTGCATTAATTTTATTTACAACTTAGACTGATGTCTGGGTTTTAGGAAAAGTTTCTACTACAAAGTGCAGCTGCTCTGATTTCTCCTGCTCCAAGAAGCCCAGTGATTTTCATTTAAAGGATGAGGATGAAGTAAAGCATAGAATGCAAAGATTTTATCATCCCAGAGCCCCTGATATGCTGAGCAATGTGAAGTATGCATATTATACTAGATTGCTTTTGAAGAAGATATTCTTGTTTTAGAGGTGAGAAAATGGCTCAGAGAGATTAAGTGACACATTTAACTGTAAAAGAAGGATTCTGTCCCACTCAGTGGGACTACAGACTGTGCAATCTTTCCATCAAGGCATACTTGCTCCCATGCTGAAAATCTGTACATTAATATGTTAGCTATGGAAGATGTAAACAGAATCAGCATGAACTCACCAAGCAAGTCTATAAATACTACAGCACTCTTCAAAGGGAAGCCTTTCAGAATATTTGCAGTGACTGTGTCAGGGTGTATTAGATATTAGGAATACAGAGTGGCTCTGCTCCACCAAGAGGACTCCACTTCATTTCAGCTATGACTGAAATCAACTACCAAACCCTAGCATTTCCGCAGTATCATTTCTCAGCGATCACACACAAGAGCGATGAAATGCTATGCACCTTGACAGCCTCTTCTGTAGTCACCAAGAATGCTGAAATGAGGGGTGAGGTGTCACTTTCCCCCACTAGATCATAAATTCCTTGTGAGAAAAGACATAGCTTTCCCATAGTAGTCGTAGGATATATTTTAATTTTTTTTTTTTTTTTTAAATAGAGCCTCACTGTGTAGACTGGCCTTAAATTCACTACGTAGCCCAGGCTGGCCTCAAACTCCAGGCAATGCCCTGCCCCGGCCTCCCGAGTGCTGAATTACACTTGGGCACCACCCCACCCAGCCCTACATGTTTCATTTTAAATAAGCACATGCACGACAATAATTAACAGTCACAATTACATATATTGCCTAAACTCTACTCTTACTTTAGATTTTTAAGACATCAATATTATATCACATTTCATTAATTAATGCAGACATTTTCTGCAACTTTTCCACACCTTTCCCACTTGAAGCCATTTAAATTTATAATGAGATTCCAATACTTTTGCCCTAATGTGTTTTAAATATTCAGTGTTATGTGAATTGTAAATAACGAAGTATCTGAATGTGTACTTTTGTGTAATCATTATACATTTCTTAATTCTTTGGCAAATATGGGATCAAGAAAACATAACTTTGTGCAGTGTCATTAGCAGTGATTTAGTTTCCTAATTTAACAATGCCTGTAAAAAGACATTCACTCTAAGAAAGAGCAAAAGAAAATCATCAGCAAATGTTAGTAAATACATGTAACCTAGCAAATGCTGGGTAATGTCTCAATTCACAAGGCTTGCTTGATAGCCAAACATGGTTATTTGATATCCAACAACCACAAATAAAAGATAGTAAGTTGCCATGTTTGTGCACCACATGCTAAGGGAGCAACTGCTATCAAAGTTGGAGAGCATAGAC